TTTTCATCTCGAATCTATGTTTTCTATTATTGTAACATACATAATTATATATTGACTTAACCAAACTTTTCAAAAGATGGTAAGGTGTTTAATTATAGCCTCCATTATATTTGGCATGAAAATATGCTTGGATATTTGTCGGCAGACATTATCTGTTCTGAGAAGCGAACAGTTTTCCGAGAGCAAAGCTCGAGAAAAACTGATGGCCATACAGGGGATCTAAAAATTGGGGAATATCACTCGAATATTTCCCAGTTTTAGCTGTGCTATATTCAATCACGTGGCATGTTTAAACCACGGCCAATCGCGTGCAAACGAAAATATTTGATGGATTATAACCTGGGATATTTCTATCCCATATCCCATAAATTTCTCTCCAAAATATTCTTTATCCTGTTGATTCTTGACCTGAATATATATCACATCCAGAAAAATCCCAGTAGGACCTTATATGCCCTTTGGTAAACAAAATGGTAAAGCAAGTCTGTAACAATCTTAGAAGTTAGAGGGGAGTGAATAGGGGTACACAAAACATCCTCCAATCCTAACTATTTTTTCACCAACTCCATTAATCTGCCAGAATCTGGAATCTGTAGTAAAATTCACAGCAGATCCATGGTGTGCCATATTTTTGAAATCTGCAAATCCACTGCAGAGCCTTTGGGACACTGTGGTGTAATGCAGCCTTGTATTAATGTTACTATTCTAGTGACTTTTATTAATAGTAACTCCGAGAAGCTCAATCATATTTAGTGATTGACGTTATTGTAATTGACTTGTAGGTTGGAGAACACATTGACAGAGATTGCCAGTCTGACCCAGCAGTGGCAAAGAGAAAGGTTATTTACCCCTTCCAGCATTCCCAGTATACCCATTGTGTTACCTGATTATTTTATACAGAAATAAATTCAAACAAATCTACTTTGCTTAGATTTTATTCAATGTTATATGACTAGAATTAGCAGCTTACTGGTAATCACTTTTAATCACTGAATTATATTTGAAGTAAGTAGATTTTCTTTCTTGCAAAAGGGAAAGAC